CTGCATTTCTTTTTCTTTTTTCTTTTTTTTTAAAGATGACCGGTAAGGGGATCTTAACCCTTGACTTGGTGTTGTCAGTACCACGCTCAACCAGTGAGCGAACCGGCCATCCCTATATGGGATCCGAACCCGGGGCCTTGGTGTTATCAGCACCGCACTCTCCCGAGTGAGCCACGGGCCGGCCCCAGACACTAAATTTTTATTACAGAAATATTTGATCTGTATTTAGATTTCACAAAATGTATAGTTGAAAAGCTAGATTCACATACCCAAGTTGTTCTAAATGTACTTAAAACTTTTCCAGTCGGGGCCGGCCCGGTGGCACACTGGATAGTGCGCCGCTTGGGAAGCGCGGCGGTGCTCCCACCCGAGGGTTTGGATCCCACATACAGACCGGTTCCCGCTCACTGGCTGAGCGAGGTGCGGGAACAACACCGAGGGTTGCGATCCCGTTGCCGGTCCCGGTCCGGTATGGGGGCGACACTGAGGGTTGCGATCCATTGCCGGACACGGAAAAAGACAAAAAAAAAAAAAAACAAACTTTTCCAGTAACTGAACTATCAGTTTTGAAGCTAAAATTAAAAATAATTAAATTTAAATAAAATTAAAAATCATGAACATCCAGCACCTCTGTGGCTGTAGCCGTAGCACTGGTCTGGGTCATTTGTCCAGCCCACCCTGAGCACTGCCCTGCACTGGGTGCTGAGGGCACAACCTGTGAACGCCACAGCCTGGCCCTCTGGCCGTGTGTCACGTGAGGCTGTTGTTCAGTCAGGAGGGCCCAGCAGAGCTGGAAGGGGAGGCCCCAGGACTTTGTCTGGAGGGCTCGTCTAGACAGCTGACATCTGTTGTGGGGCCCGTGTCCCCTGCGCACCATTTGCTTCTGGTGGTGCTGGGCTTGCACCTTCCAGGTGACATTCTGCTAGACCCTGGGCCTCCCTGTTCTCACCTGTGGGCTTGCTCCTTCCCATTTCCTCATTTTCTCTGGTCTGAAGTGCCTTCCCCAGTCTTCCGGTATCTTCCGTAGCATGTGTTGCTGGGTTAGCATCCACAGTGCTGGCTACACAGTGAGCTGGATGAAGGACACAGTGGTGCTGTTCACGGAGCTTTGTGTGGTGATGGAGGTGTTCTGTGGTAGCGTGTGACTGAAGAGCTGAATTCTAAGTTTTATGTAATTTAAGTTTAAATGTAAGTAGCTACATGTGGCTACTGGCTGTCATATTGGACTTGGCAGTTAGAGAGTAAAATCTCCAGTCTGGCCGATAACACAGAAAGACATTGAGTCTTTCCCTCATGCCACCCTTTCTGGCCATACCCACCTCCTCCTGCTGCCATCCCCCCAGTCCCTGGCAGCCATCATTCTCTCTCCGTGCCAGCAGTTATGTCATGAACGGGGACCTGCGGCTTGTGACTCTCAGGCCTGGCCTTCATGCGGCGCAGTTCCCTGCAGACCCTATAGGCCATCACCTGCGCAGGTGGTTTGTTCCTTTGTCCTGCTGAGTAGTTTCCATGGTATGGATATGCCGGTTTGTTTAACTGCTCACCTCTGAAGCATCGTTGCAATTCTGATAAAAATCCTGATGTGATTTCCGTGGAACTTCACAAGCTGATCTTAGAGTTCTTGACAGAGCTTCAGATCCTCCAATTCATTCATTCAGTCACTCAACACCTACAGGCCAGATGAGGTGCTGGGCACAGACAAGGAGGGTGAGAGGACAGACACACAGGCGACCTGTGACCACAGGTGTGACTGGTGTGACAATAGTGCTGGGGGGAGTGGGCATGGGGCCTCGCCCAGCTGCTGTAGCCACAGAGAGGCTTGGACGTATAATGGGGGCTGCACACTGAAAGGTGGGAAGGGTCTTTCTGTTGGGGGGTCAGGTGAAGGCCATGGGTGGCCACAGGGAAGGAGGACAAGTGGACAGGTGGATGGAGCCAGCTGTCACACGGTGCTTAGGCTTGGGGTGTCCCCAGAGAGCAGGGGACATGGCCAGGAAACGGCACGTGTAAAGATCATTCAGTGAATTGGAGTGTCTGCTCTGTACCCGACTGTTCTAGATACTAGATGGGAACACGGGGGAGGCAGACAGAAAGCAGGGTGGGTAAGGACTCGCCACAGTGTGTCAGGAGAGAAACAGAGCTGAAGGGGTGCTGGGTCCATGTAGGGCGGCCAGGGGTGGGGCTAGAGGTGATGGGTGTGAGCTGTGGGGATCCCTGAGGATCCGATGGACAGCGCAAGGTGATGTGGCTGTGCCGAGGATGGAGGTCTGGGGACAGGCAAGTGGGATTCGTCGACTGTCGGTGAGGGCCATGATTCAGGTCAGGGTAGCAGCACCCTGGCTGCTGGTAGAGAATCAGGTGAGAAGGCTGAGGCCACCAGCCTTGGGGCTAGCCCAGCGCAGGGACAAGTGGGCATGGGGGACCGGGAAAGAGGTTCATGAGCTGGGAGTGTTGGGGCAGAGGAGACTGGAGCAGGCACGATGTGGCTGAGTGGGGCAGCGGGTGCAGGCAGGTTCAGCAAGCCCCTGCCTGAGTGGTCATGGTGTAGGCGGTTGGCACCTGTGTGTGCTTCTCCGAATGGCGGTGTTCTTTCGTATCCCATTCAGGAAATCTATGCAGTCCAAGTCTTGAAGATCTTCTCCTGAGTTTTCTTCTAGAACCTTTGTTGTTCTGCCGTTAGCTGAAGACTGCACTGCTCTGGAACTGTGTTTTGTGTTTGGGGTGAGGCAGGGATCAAGACTGATTTTTCCTTTCAATCATTTTTTGTTTAGGTGTGTGGTTGTCCCAGCATCACTTATACAACTGTCCTTTCTCCATCACCTCTTACATGGCTTACATGTTCTCAGGTGGCCCTTCCTGTGGTGCTGTCCTGTTGTCACCTGTGTCATAGATGAGGTCACTGAGTTCGCTGGTCCGGTCATAATGCTTGTCAGGCGAGCAGGACTCAGGCCAGGTGTGCTCAGCCCCTGGCCCAGCCCTTGGCCGCTCACGGCACAATTGTCACCCGGCTCTGTGGTGGAGGAGGTGGGTCTGAGATGAAGTCTCCCCGTAAGCATGTGGTGGGGCTGGGCCTGTGGTCTCAGTGCCTCTGCAGCATCTCCCAGGGAAGGTTCAGAAGCTGCCTTGTCTTGGCAGGGCCCCGGGTACATGGCTTGTTGTGTAGCATGCAGCACAGCAGCCACCCTTCCGCAGAGAAGCCTGCAGGACCTGGCTGTCCCGAGTGTCCTCGTCCTGTGTATTCTGGCTCTGTACCTGCATCCCACACAACAGTACCACTGGGAAGAACTGGCTGCACCGTGCTGCCCCTTGCGTGTGTTGGCACTGAGTGGGTCACTCCTGGGCAGGCGCAGCCTGCAGCTCTTTCGAGTGACCTGTGGGGGCCATCTGAGCTGGCCAAGAAAACCCTTTTCTTGCCAGGTGTCCATTGCGGCACTGGGCTTGGTACTGTTCAGATGTCCTGCTGCACACTGGGGACAGCGGACCCGGGGTGGTGGGCTGTGCTGAACACAGAGGACATAGTCCTGGTGGAGTGGCCAGGCCCAGGACTGGGAGGATGCGCAGCAACGTGGGCAGCACCCACAGCCACAGCAACAGTTTCCATGGTGGCATCAGAGACTCTAGGCTGTGTGTCACCTGGCGGTTTTCTGGTAGTTGACAGAGCTGTTTTCTCATCTCTTCAGCCCATCTGACCCTGGCTGTTACGGATGGAGAGAACTCGAAGGTCATCCCATTCCTGTGCCCCGTCAGTCCCACTTCCTGGGTGGCCAGAGTTCAGCCCTGCACAGCCCCAGGACGGCCCGTCTGTGCGCGGTCAGCCTGTCCGTTGGTGGGCATCTTTTTTCTGGGTCACAAATCCAACTTTTAACTTACTCCCTTTATGCGAAGCAGTAATGATTTCTATTTAAATTTACCATTAGTTTTGAGAGCTTACATATGAAACGATGCTTTAAGAAGCCAGGAGTAGTGTGAGAGGTTCTGTAGTGTGGTGGAGAAAACCCTGAGCCTAAAAGGTGGAAAAGTAGGGGCCGCTCTGCCCATCACCTGTGAGATGCTCTGTGTCTTCAGCATGGGCGCTCTTGCCGTTTTTCACAGTCCCGGCAGCTGAATCTCCAGGGGTTTAAGGAGCTTGCTGGTGCCCAGCTAGACAGTGACTCCATGAGGCTCCAGCAGGACACATGCACCTCCCATGTTTGCCCCTCCCCAGATCTGTGCCCCGAGCCTGCACTGGGAGTGTGTGGAATCAAATGCACAGACACACAGAGGCACTGAAGTAGACCGTGGCTTGCCAGCAGTTCCCTGAGATTTCATGGGGCAGAGTTGCAAGCTAGAGAAAAAAGTCCTGAGGTGTTTGACATAGGGCCTTCCCTGCAGGCCTCGCAGCCACCACTGTATCCAGTGGCTTTTCTGCCTTGCAGGAGGGGTGAGGCCCTGCTGTCTGCCCTCCCAGGACCAGGGCCACCCTCCAGAGCCTGGCTCAGGGGTGTGGGTCCCATTTCTAAGCTGCTGCAAGCAGGAAAGGGCTCGCAGGTCCTGGTTCAAGATCTTCTTACTGAAAAGTAGCTAAGTGGTGAGGCTGGTAAGACGGTCGTAGCTCAGACCAGCCGGAAGGAAGGAGGGCCTGAGTTTCAGGAGCGTCAACAGGGAGCGTGCTCGGCTCGGAGTAAAAATTCACTCCATTTACTCTGTTGAATTTTGTCGGGTTTTATAACACCTCTGTTATGGAAGAATGTACTGCAGAGGTCAGCACTTTCATTCTAATCGCCAAAAAGAAAATGTTGGGGACAGTGTGCTGCAGTGGTACAGACACGGGTGCTTCTTGTTTCCGAATTCTCCTGTGTTAGTCTCAGCACTGAAACTACTTTTCCTGTCTCTTTCAGTGTTCTGCTGAGAAACTGAACACAAATGGCTGTCTGTTCCCTTTGGAGATCAGTGGTAAGTGTTTTGGAAGCCCTGGCCGGGTCTTTCTGGGGCTGGTGTGGCTTCAGACTTGAGCAAGACTGGGCCTGGGAAAGGACAGGGAAGGTCGCCAGCTGCCGTCCTCCCCACTGCTGGGCCAGTGATCAGCAGTGGTCCGTGAGCAGGACTGGCCATGCCAGGGTCAGGACCAGGCCTCTCCCTTCTCATATTTCTGGAAGCTACAAGGCCCATCCTGTGGCTGTGAGAGAAAGAACAGGGTGAGTGGGTAAGGTGAAGCCCGTGGCGTTGGCCAGAGCTGTGCCGTGGTGTTTGCTGCATGGCCCGTGTATGTCAGGGACATCCATGCTGCAGAGCATGTGGATCTGTCTGGGCTCACTCTTTCTCCCTCCCCGCCCCAGGCCCTTCAGTGACTGGAGCAGGTGGCAGCCTCCTGAGTGTGAGGGCTCCTGGTAAATCTCGAATCCTGGGTCCTCTCCTGTCCCAGAGAAGGCACCTTGACCACTGAGGCTGTGAGAGGTGCCAGCACCCTGAGCTGTGCAGAGTGGGCCTTTGCCATGATGACATGCAACCCATGTTTGGAGGTCACCCTGCTGAGTGCCAAATTACTAAAGCAAAGTTTTTTTCCAAATTATTTCATGAATAGATGTAAGTAGGAACTGTGAGTCTCCAGCCAGTCCCAGTCCCACCACATGCCCCGCCCTTGGTGCTGTGTCCACAGTCTCCCACCTCCACCGCAGCCTCCTAGGGTCCATTCTGCACACAGGGCCAGGCCGACCACCTCAGTCCCTGCCTGCCTCCTTGCTGCCCCAGGGTCACCCTGGGGCCTTGGCATGTGCCTTTTCTCATAGGTGGGCCTGGTCTCTTCCTTTAGGTCCCTGGCCTCTGTTTCCAGGTTCCTTGGCTGGATAGTGAGTGCAGAAGCTGCTGGGGGAGCCCTGTGGGTGCTGCTGGACATCCTACCCCGAGAGCGAGTCCTGGACCACCCTCTGGCGGGGAGTAGAGGGGCGGTCTGGGCTTCACGCCAGGGCCGACTCCATGTGAGGAGACCCGTACACTCAACTTTGCTCTCATGTCTCCTCCAACTGCGGGTCAGCGAGGAGTGGCAGCCAGGGCGGTGCGGCTCTGAGGGGCCGGGTGGTGGGAGGGGATCTGGACAGGAGGGGTGGGGGCAGCAGGGGAAGGCAGGTGCTTGGGAAAGTTTGTGGAAGAGGCGGGTTTGAGGAGGGGCTCACAGACTTGACCCCTGGTAGTTCTGAGATCTGTGAGGAGCTGCTGAAGTCCAGACTCCCTACAGACTCCATGCCCAGGGGTGTGCCCCGAGCTTTTCTGATTCTTCCTTGTGGGATGGTGAGGGAGGTAGGCACAGGAAGTCCTGCTGCGCTTGCATGCGACCCTGGCTGTCAGTGCTGGGCTGATCCCTGGACACCCACGGTCTCATGGGATCCCTGGCAGTCTTAGGGGCAGTTGCCAGCTCCCTGATTTATGATCAAGGAAGTGGAGGCTTGAGAGTGTCAGAGGGGTCTCTGTCTGCAGCCCACAGCCCCCACCCATGGTGTACTGTGTGCTGTGACCTTGGGAAGGGGTGGTGGGAGCACTGGCAGCCAGGCATCCCGGCTGGGCGGGCGTCCCTGCTGGGCCTCCTGGAAGAAGGTGGCTGTGCACAGCCCTTTGCGCTGAAGTTTAAAGTGTCAGCGAGAAGGAAAGAGCACATTGTCCTGCATTATTAAGGAACATGAGCTGTTTTTAGGAAGTGATATTTTGGGGATCCTGGCCAGTGAAGCCGTACACCTAGGTGACTGGCTGTGGACAGAGGAAAAGCATTTTGATGACAAAGGAGAATGCTTTAGTGACACCAGTGTGAGAACACAGAGGGTCTCCTTATTTTCAGGAAGTGCACTGAGGGGGAGATGCCAACCTCCCAGACAAGGTGCTTTCCTCAAAGAAGCAAAATGAGCCCACAGCTAACCTGCCTAGCGGGCCCGTTCAGAAGCCAGGGCCTGCACAGGTGGGGCTGGCGCCGATTGTGTGACCGGTGGTGTTTCGCAGGGACAGCATCTGTGCCTGCAGTTCCTCTGTCACGTTGTGCCGAGGCCCTCAGAGCAGATGCTTCTAGGAGCGCAGGGGAGTGGGGCCAGGTCCTAGTGAGTTTGTGTCAGGCTCTTTGCTGGGTGCCACCCCACACCGTGGCAGGGGTGCTTCACCTGCTGCTCACCTGTCTCTCTTTCATGCCCCTTTGTGTCTCCTCAGTAGACAAGAGCCCCTGGAAGGTCCTAAGTGGAGGACGGCCTCTCAGAAGCCAGGTGGCTGTGGGCCCCGATTTCCCCTTCCCGCCAGGCCCTTCTACCGTGGTTCACACTACAGGTCTCCAGTGGCGGCCAGAGTCTCCTGTCCCATGCACAAGCCTGGGTGTGGACAGTGCCTCGGACCTCAATGAGAACACAGGGCCACCTGCGGCACCGCCCTCCAAGCGACACTGCCGGTCCCTGTCAGAGCCGGAGGAGCTGGCACGCTGCCGGTCCCCGTGGCGCCCTGGCGGCTTCAAGGTCTGGACTCCGGTCTCCAAGAGGCGGTGCAACAGTGGCGGGAGTGCCACACTGCAACGTTGCAGTGGCCATGGGAGCACTGGCCTGCCGAGCAGTGCTGCGTCACTGCCTGGTCTCACTTTGCCCTTGGCACCCCGGCCGTCCTCAGCCATCAGCGGCTTTGTGGACAGCAGTGAGGGCAGCACCAGCTCTGGCCGGCCTTGGCACCCCAAGGGGCCCTGCTTGCGCTCCTCGAGGCGCCGTCTGTCCCTGTCGCAGGAGCACCTTGCAGACGCCGGCACCCCCCTGCCCTCAGCCAGCAGTACCCCCTCGTCCACGCCTGAGCTGGGCCGGCGCCACGGCCTGCTCCGGTGCCGCTCACAGCCCTGCGTGCTCAACGGGAAGAGGAGCCGGCGCAAGCGGCGGCGCGAGGAGGACACCAGGTGGACGCGCCCATGCTTGGACTTCCTGAAGATGACGCGGGTGAGTCTCTGCTGGTTTCCTGAGTTGGTGTGTGTGTGTGTGTGTGTGGAGGGCTGGACCAGGCAGTGCCACTGGCCTCAGGACTGGGGTCCAGGTATGGGCTGTGGTCCTGTCCTTGGCCTCAGAGTGCCCACGGTCACGCTGCCTGCTTCCCTAACCACAGAGGCAGGACCCTATGTATTGATTCCGGGCATCCGCCAGGCTGGCATGGGGGTTTGTACCCTGGACCTGGGGAAGCAGCTAGGAGCTGAGCTTGTGGATTCTGGAGGGTGAGGCCCTACCTGGTGCGGCCTCATCTCCTGGGGAGTGCCAAGTACTTTTCCTGGGGTGGGGTGGTTTGGGAAGTGGGGAGCTGTCCTGGGAGCCCTGTCCAAGACAGAGCTGGGGGTGCTGTCTCCCATGGGAGGTAGCTGGAGCTGCTGCGGCCGGCCTTGGTGTGCTTTGCCCGAAGCCCCATGGGAGCCCCGTGGGAGCCCAGTGGACCGCACCCACACGTGCCTTGGGCTCCCTGGTATCTGGGGAAAGTGTACCTTTTGAGGGAGGCTTCTGAATTGTGGTCTGGAAGGAAGCTTGCACCAGCATGAAGGCTCTCGCGTTCCAGTACTGTTGCCACCTGCCTTTTCCGTGTTGCTCGCAGGCTGCCATTGGCAGCACAGTTAAAGGAAAAAAAGAAAAGCAGTGCGACTGTCCCCAAGGCCTCACTGTCATGTGCTGGAAGGGGTGTGTGTTCACTTCAGGTGCTTGGAGATCTCTGGGGGTCCTCGCAGAGCTTGGTGGGAGCTGGAATGCCAGGGGAGCTTTGAGCAGCGGGAGAAATGAGAGTGGGATGTCCTGGTGCCCACTCTCAGTGTGAGCAGCAGGAGCTGAGGGGCCGTGGCAAAGGCAGGAGGGCCGTGTCAGCTGTTCCACTCCATGACTCATGGCCTTGGAAGTTCCCCGACTGCCTGCCCTCCAGTCCTATCCCCTGGCCCACAGGCCTGACCATACCCTGCTCTGTGGGGTATTGGATGTGGGTGAATGTCCTGTGTGGGCTGTGCCCTATGTGCCACGGGCCGGGCCTGCTGCACTGTCCTGGGTCAGGTTGGCTGTTACTGTGCCGTCCTGGAAGAGCAGCCACCTAAGAGGAGAAGGGGCACCGACAGAGACCCAGATCCCCTTGCGCTGGCCACAGGTTGGGCTCAGGAACAGCGTGGCTGGTGGTCCTTTGTGGGATGCCCTCTCTAGGCCATGCTGACGCAACTGTCAGCTTTGCTTCACCTGATGCGTGGATTGTCTGGATTGTCTGGAAAATTCTTCCTGGTGTCTGAGGGCTGTGAAAATGCAGATGTAGGGGCTGTGAAACTTTTCTGCAGAGAGCTGGGTCTGGGAAAGGAAGGTTCTGATCTTCCGTGTGAAGGTGGGCCATCCTGGGGGGCTCCAGTGATGCTGGAAAGCTGGTGATGAGCTCCCGATACACACTGAACCGTCCTGCTCCCACCAGTGCTACAGTTGTGCACAGCATGTGATGCCAGGCTCTGCAGGGACCAGGGGACTGGAGCAGAGGAGGGAGGCCACCAGTGGAAGACCCACTGGTTCAGCGCTTAGGGGGCCTGGAACAGCACGTGCCAGAGAGGTGTTAATGGTGAGTGACGGTCCTGCCTGGAGATGCTCATGGACATTCTGGACCCCTTGGGAGGAAGGGGAGGGTGGGTGTGGCCGGGTGGGTAGAGGCTGTGCTATGGGGCTCAGTCTGGCAGCAGGGGGACCCCTGGCAGAGGTGCAGGCAGAGGCAAGGACTCGGTAGACTGAAGATGAGGGTGCACTGGCACCCGGGTGGTCATGGGCAGCTGCAGGTGGTGAAGGTGTAGGGGAGACAAGGTCTGAGAGACAGCAGAGCTACTGCGAGTGTTCGTGGGCTTTGCAGGTGTGGGCAGATCTCAGCCTCCCCTGTGTGCATGTGTGCAAGCGTGTAAGAGAGAGAGTATGTGTGGGTGTGTCTGTATGTATAGCCTCGATTTTCTTTGGAGGAACCACAAGGCTGGATGGGAGCTGGGGCCTGTGAGCCCTCAAAGGGCTGTGGGGTGAGCCAGGATCATCTGGGGGCCATGTGGCCACATCTTGGGCCCATTGCACAATCCCTCAGTCTGCTGGTCCTGTCTGTGGTGTTTCACTGATCTCTTCCTTCTACGTCCCCACCCCAGATGTCCTGCCTCAAGCTCTCTTTCTGATGGAGACGTCATCCTAATTGGTTTCTTTGCCTCTAATCCTGTCACCCTCAATTTAATCCTGATTCCACCACCAGAGTGGACTGTCTAAAACAAAAGGCAAGATTGCTGTACTAGTCATCTGCTGCTGCGTAACAAGTGAGCCCAGACGCAGCTGCTAAAACCCTCATACCCGTGTTTCCTCAGGGACTGTGTGAGGCAGGGGTCCAGGAGGCACAGCTGGGGGTCCTGCTCAGGGCCTTGTGGGAGGTTGGTTGCACTGAAGGCTCAACTGGGGCTGCAGGACTTTTTCCAGGCTGGTGTGCATGGCTCCTGCCAGGAGGCTCCAGTTCTTTGCTGCGTGGGCCTCTGCAGGGCAACTTCAGTGTCAAGGGAGTGGCCTAGTCTAGTGTCTGTGTCATCTCGTTCTGGTTAGTTCCACTTTCATCTGCTTGTGTTTTTTGAAAAATTGCTAGCTCTGTTCCCTTTGTTCTGAGGTTTCGTGATGACACACCTGGGCATGGGTCCGTTTTCATAGGTGGTGCTGAGCCTAGGGGGTCCTTTTCGTTCTGAAGACTCATGTGCTTCACGCTGGGGAGTTTTCCTGGATTATTTTACAGGTGATTTCTTCCCTGCGCTCTCCCGCGTGGCTGTTTCTGCACCCTTTGGTTCTTTGTCACTCCAGTTGCTCAGGTGTCAGGCCTCTCTGATGGGCCCTCTACTTTTCTTTCTTGCTTCTGTTTTCTTTGAGGCTTTTCCACTTGAGGGATGGGCTGCTTTGTCTCTGAGGCGCTCCTGCGTTTTGTCTGGAGGGAGGATGTCTTCTTTTTCCTGCATAGCTTGTTCCTCCAGGTTGCTTTCCTCTCAGTTTATCCTCTTTCAGGTGAGCTACTCTCCTCAGATGTGTGGTGGCATTGGATGTCTGCTTGCGTTTGAGTGGGGCTCTGCGTGTGTGGGGTGGCCCAGCTGTGAGCATCCTGAGGGTCTGGGCGTGCTGGGAGTTGAGAAGCCCCAGGTAGCTGTGTCTCAAGGAGTTTCTTTTGGGATCAGAGTCCCTACAGAAGACTCTTCCAGTCCCCTGCCTGCAGAGTGCGGAGCCCAGTAGGGAGGGGGCCGGTGCTCTGCATTTAGGGCACAGACATTCACCCAGCCCCCCGCCGCCCACTGTCCAGAAACACTGCGAATTACGCTTTTCCGAGAATAAACCTCTCTTGTGCAAGTTTGGGGAGGAGTGAGTGCTAGGCAGAGGTCAGGGAGGGAGTGTAGGGTCCAAGTGCTGCTCACCTTGGAGTCATTGTCACAGCTCCCTCACCTGACACTCGACAGCACACGCATGTACCTGCATGCACACACACCTCTGTCCCCTGCTGTGGCGTGGAACAGGCTGGCCTCCTTGCTCCCCTTGGCCACATGACGGAGGCACCCAGTTGTCTGTTGGTGTACATGTGGAGCCCTGGTCTGACACACACACACGCACGGCTCCAGACACACACACACACACACACACACACACACACACACACACACACACACACACACAGCTCCAGACACTCGTGGGCCTTTGGAGGTCCCCCCATCCAGTTCCTGCCCAGCTGTGGCCTGCAGAGTGGCTGCTCTGCCCGTGGCCAGGGTCAGCTTTGGTTGCAAGTAGCCTCATCAGGGGATCCTGTCCTGCTGGCTGGGCCAGTGTACTTTCATGAGAGCAAATCTGGGTGTTTTCAGTTTGACCAAAGCCACAGGCCTCTGCATGTGGGATGGTGCAGATGTGGCCAAGGCTGGGATGGACATTTGTTGAAGTTATTTCTGAGTGAGTCCCCGGAGGGTTTCGTTCTTCTTCCAGGATCTCACCAGCTTGATCATAGCTGAGTTAAATTGGCTGTGGGGCTGGAGGCTTGTTTAGCTGTAAATTGGGACCTGGCTGACTGTTTTGCACAGTATAGAGCCCCTTATTTAGAACTCGAGACTTGATCTTTGCTTTTTGAACAATTCTATTGTGTCACCTGCTCAGACACAAGTACCATCGGACCAGAGCGATGGTGGCAGAGGCCACAACTGAGCCCTGGGCCTGGTGCCTGGGGGCAAGGGTCATGCCTGGCAGGTGGTGCCCATCCAGATCCCTCCACTTGGAGCCTTAGTTTCCCTACTGTGATCTGGAGCTTTATACAATATGCAGCACATGTCCATGTGAGGTAGCATAGCGAGAGCCCCTTGGCCTGTGTAGTTGTTGTGAGGAGTGTGTTAGGTCACAGAGCCACAGGTGTCAGTTTTATGTGGCAGTGGTTGTTCTGTAGCCGAAGTTGTTAAGAAGGCCGCCGCTTTTATGCTTGAGCTGCACAGCCACAGGCTGTGGATGCAGCTTTGTCACAGCGCTAGAGCACCCAGTGTGGTTCTCATGCCACTGTCATGTCCATGCAGTCGGTCCAGAGCATTGACTTCTGCAGCAACACGAATCAAAAGCAAAACGTCATAGTTCGAGATTTAAGGAAAGCTGGCCGCCGAGGTCCTGTAGCATCACTGTGACTGCAGGTGTGCATGTGCCACGTGGCTGTCCACGTGTGGGCAGGAAGTGGCTGGAGATGGGAGATAATGGGCAAGGCCAGACAGAGCCAGAAGTGAGAGCTCAGGGGCTTGGCCTCTGCCATCTGGCCACGTGGGGCAGCCCTGCGTGTGGGCCACGCACTGTCCAGCAGGGACCAAGGAGACAAACTGTGTTTCAAGCCTGGCTATGGAGTTTGCACACACAAGTGACATTGACAGTCAAATTCACCTTGATTTGAATAAAAAAGGTATTGTGCACCCTTATTTTGTGACTGAAACTTGTGGCCAGTTGTATCTTTAAAGATTTGATTCTTCAGAATTGTACTTCTCCAATAGCAATTCAGTTTTTTATAGAACAACAAAAACAAAAGATGTGGCCTTTCACCTTCTAGGGCCAAATAACTTCCATCAAATACTAGTTTCAAAGAGGAGCTCTGTCCTCCTGAGGGATGTGCGTGTTCTGCTGCGATTCACTGTGGAACTGTTTCCAGCCAATAGATACTGTTTTTAGACAGAAAATAGATTTTCTATCACATGAGGCATCTCATTGCTGTTAGAGAATTGTGGGTTGGGGGATGAGGTTTATCGTTTGTTTGGAGTTGGATAGCTTGTATTCTAGGCTCATAATTCTAGGTGGCCAGTGTCGGCTACGTCCACGTGATGAGTCTGCTGGTCTGTGCACTGGCATCTGCATTGCTGTGCCTTGTGTCTGCAAACACTGTCTGACAGCACGCACATGCTTCTGAGAAGCCCCATACCACATGGTGATTTGTGTGTGAGGCCAGCGTGGGCATGGCCCAGGAGGGGAGCGTGAGCTGACCCTCAGAGGGCCTGGAGGTGACACCCGGCAGGCAGAGCAGGTGGCAAGGATGCTCCTGGTGGTGGAGATGTGGGCACAGGTTGCAGTGGATAGCGCTGGATGTTGCAGGACGGGGATCTCGAGGGGGGTCCAGGAGGTAGTATTGCGGGGGATGGGATCTGGTGGTGCTGAGGTGGCTGCTGCTGAGGCACATCCTCAAGGTGGGCGGTGGCTCTGGACTGCGGGACACAGGGTTAGCCCTGAGGCGGGGAGGCCAGCACATGCTCCAGCTGGGCATTCTCAGGGCTCCATGGGACAGTCCAGGAGGAGTACCCTCTCGAGTGGAGAGGGACTCTGTACATTTCAGGGAGGGCTCTGGTCTAGGGGTACAGGCTGGAGGTTCTACTGTCCAGGGCAGCCCCTGTCTTTAATGGGTTGGGGAAGGGGGGCTGCTGAGTAAGAACTGGCCAGAGAGGCAGTGTGAGGAGAAAGGGCAGCAGAGGCCCACTCAGAGCGAGATCTCAGAGCTGAGGGAGGGTGCAGGGGCTGGGCCTGGAGGTCCTGCCACTTGGGCAGCTCGGGGTGTGGCGTGTGCTGGGGGCAACCTGGAGGGGCTGGGCAGGGGCTGGGAGAAGCTGTGGGGGCGGAGGGTGGTCGTTGCTCAGAGGAGGCCTCTTCTGCATGTGTGTGTCTTAGATATTTTGAGATGAGAAAGACTGAGGTGTGTTTATAGTTGAAGAACAGCCACAGAAGAGGAAGGCCGAGGAGAGAGAAAAGGGGGAAGCTTGGTGGAGGCAGGTGCCAGGGACACGGGACGAGGTGGGGCCCAGGGGCACTTGCCGTGGGTGGAGTTGGAGCAGTCTGATGACATCCGGGTGGAGGAGAGACCAGGAGTCCCCCCTGAGGGCCTCACAGGCTGCCGTGAGGTTGCCTGTCAGGTGTGGTACTGGGTGGGGGCCACTGTTGAAGTGGAGGGTATGTAGGACCTGCCCTGGCCAGGCCATCTGCTGAGAGCAGGACAAGGCCCAGGGATGAAACTCCCACGCTTGAGTGTCCTGGGAGTCTTGGGGCTTGGTCAGGTGTCAGGTGCCCATGAACCTGGTGCATTTGGTCTGGGCAGGACCAGGATGTGTGCCCCACCCCTCCCCCAACACCAGGCAAGTGCTGTGGAAGCCACAGGGGACCAAGGATGTGGGCACTATGTGTGGACTTGGGATGGCTGAATACCACGCCCATAGAGTGGGGTCAGCAGGATGCTGCCTCTCTCATAATCTGCTGGAAGTGCTTTAGCCCGTGTCTTTTCTATTGCAGACATTAAAAAATTCAAAAAGCCTTTGCTCCCTCGATCATGAAGATGATGAGGATGACACCCAAGTGAAGACGGTTGTGTCCTCCCCATGTGACTCACGGGATCTCCTGGGCATCGTCATACCAGGCTCTAGCCCATGGGCCTCGAGGGAGCGGGCAGCCAGCGACGGCAGGGGCGGGAGCAGCGGGGACCCCAGTGACTGGGACAGCACTGGGGAGGAGGGCGTCTTCCCTCTGGATCACAGCGAGCTGGACCTCGAGCAGATCGAGAACAACTGACCTGGCCGGCACCTCTGGCCTGCTCTCAGTGCAGACAGAAAACAGGTCACATGCTGTTTTGAACACCGAGGCATAATTTTGATTCAGTTTTTCCTAAAGATGTATTTTGCATTTTTATGGCTTTTACAGTTCTGGAGAAAGCGTCTCTATTTTGAAATGAATTTTCAGAAGGGCATTCTATTAAACGTGAGTCTGTCTGCAGACTCCAGGGGGGTTTATGCTCCTTTTGTGAAGAGCCTACTGTGAAGAGCACGTACTGTGGCTTAGTGCCCAGAGGCTGCGTCCCCTCCCTCCAGGGGGTGTCACGGGTGCTCGGGGCCTGTGTGTGGGCGTTTTGTGCCCTTGGACTTTGTCATCCGTGTGCTGGTGAACCACCAGCTTGCGACCACATGGTTTTCCAGCCCCCGGCAGTGCCGCTGTTTGGGTCAGGGCCAAGTGCGTGCTTCCTATGGCCACGGAGGGCCTTTGCATCTCAGGTGGGGCGTGAAGGCCACTGGTGGCATTACCTGGTTGTCAGTTCAATAAAAGACATTTGCTTTGCACATGTGACTTCTGGTTAATTTTTGTTTTCATGGTTTACAGTGGGCCTGGTTGGACCGTAGGCCCGTGTAGCGCTGGACAGAGCATGGCTTCCTTTCTTTCCTATAATTCAGTAAAATCGCAGGGATTTCTACCAAAGATGTTGATCTGAGGAACATTGGTTAAGAGGAAGGAGTTTGTGATAGCAAAAGAAAATGAAAGTCTTTGGAGAAATTTTCCTGGTTTTTTCTCTCCTGAGATAATTTGCGAAAGGCTGTTGTCATCAATTGATGGTGCCTTAGTGGGTTTGAGCTGTAGATCAGAGGAGGGGAAAGGTGGGACGTGACTGGCTTTTTCAGATTGGCCTTTCTGAGGCTTCCTGGAGCACGGGTCCCCTCTGGCCTCTCCCCTGTGAGATGGCAGGTGGGGTGGGGCTGCTGGCCCAGGGACCCCACCCTGGGAACCACTGCTCTGTTGCCTCTTGCTTAGATGAGTCTCCTGCTCCTTGTCCTGGGGGATCACAGCCCTGTGGGGAGCCCCCTCCCCGGGCGGTCACCCTCCAGGCATAACTCCGGGTCTGCCCAGTATCCCCCACTGAAGGACGGTGACCCAGGCTTGGGAGGTCCCCTCAGCCATATAGCCCACTGTGCCCCAGCTCAGTCCCTCAGCTGGGAAGCAGTCCCCCACTGTGGGTTTGGAGCAGTTCCCAGCTTGCTCTCATGAGCCAGGCCCTCCCTGAGCTGGGGGAGGACGGGTGGCCACCCATCCTCCCCAGCATGGGCTGCGGGGCTGCATCCCAGCTCTGAGTCTGGCTTGGGTGGGTGGGGTGAGGGATGTGGGCTGCTCTGGGGTTGAGCTGAGGTCTCTGCTGGTGGCGTTGCCCTCCTCCCATCTTTCAGAAGCTCCCTGGTGGCTCCTCTTCAGTTCCTGGAAGTCCAGACCCCACATGGCCTCTGGCACAGCCTCCCTGCTCTACTCGCCACAGGCCTTATGCACCCCCACCTACTCTGCACCCCCTGCCCACGCCCAGGCTGCTGTGCCGTCCCCACACTGTGGGTGTTGTGGGGGCCCTCCTTGGTCTGCTGTGCCTACTGGTCTTCTTGGCCCCCTCCTGCCCCCCTCCCTTCTCCCCCCATAACTCCTCCCTGTCGGCCTCTCGCTCGGGTGTCCACGTCGCCACGCAAGGCGTCCAGGACGAAGCACTGGCCTCTATGTCCCTGCGGGGACTGGGCACCTCCAAGCCCTCAGGAGCTCGTGGCCTGCCCCCAGCCTCCAAGTTTGCCACCTCCCTGCAGACCCATGGCTTCCCCGCTGCAGTGACTCCTCTCACCTGTTATTTTCAAATCCGGCTTTTTGGTACGTGTCTTGACCATCTTTGAGTGTACAGTCCAGGGGCAGGAAGTTCTCAGTGCTGAGCCGCCCCTCCCCTGACTAGTGGGGACCCCCCTAAGTCTATCTTTTACTGAGGGGGCCATAGTCCCCCATCTTCTAGCCGCTCTTTCATCACCGTTAATCCTCACGTTGCCCCCGTTCGACCGTGTGGTTTCTTCTTCCTGCTTAGACTCAGACTGATATAACCTTCTCATGACTTTTTGTTCATATTTTTTAATTGAGCTAAAATACACGTAACATAAAGTTCACCCTTTTAACCATTTTCAAGTGTGCAGTTTGGTGGCGTTAAGCACATTCACACTCTTGTGCTGCCGTCACCACCATCATCTCCCCAAGCTGAAACTGTCCCCCTTAAACGCTCACTCCGGCTGCCCCTCCCCCAGCCCTGGCACCCACCATTCCACTTTCTGTCTCTGTGGATTCAGTGACTCTAGGGACCTCATACAAGTGGACTGACATAGTATTTGTTGTTTTGCAACTGTCTTATGTCACTTAGCATCACATCCTCAAGGGCCATCCGTGTCGTAGCAGGTGTCAGGACTTCCTTCTTTTTTGAGGCTGAGTAATATTACATTGTGTGGTTGGTCCACCTTTTGCTTATCTGTTCTTGAATCTTTTTAAGACAGATGGTGGGTCTTGTTGCTCTCAGGGGCTTGCCATTGCTTTTAGGACAGTGTCAGCTGTGGCCACGGTCCCTCTAGCCCCTCATTCACTGGCCTGCCCTTCCCATTCTGGCCATGGCCTCCCAGCTGGTCCTGCTCAGCCCGAGTGTCACCTTCACAGACTCCCACTTCCCGGTTTCCCAGATGCTCCATGCCCACAGGTGTCAGAGCTCAGTTGAGGCAGGTAGGTACAGGCCGGATAGAGACTGGGGAGAAGGGACGCCTGGGCCAGGCAGAGAATGTGCCCTGCCTGCTGGCCATGTCCTCTCCAGAGTTCTTCCTGGCACCCGGTCTCCTCGCGGGCTGCTCCTGGGAGGACAGCCAGCCCCTCCTTGGGGCATTGTCTGGGCCCCAGGCCTCCAGGGTCTTAGGGCTGAGTCAAGAACTCTTCTAGCTGCTCCGACTGTGGACCGCCCCTCCCCCATCTTCTCCTTCCTCCTGAAACCGGCTCACCTGGGCCCTAGTACTTTCCAACTGGCTGGTTATCGAAGCTGGGATTTATTCTCCCCTCTTGCCCCTAAGGGCAGGCTTACTCTAGGTTGCCTGGTCCCACACTGTGACACCTGCCTCTGCCCTGCTGTGGCCCTTCCTGCTCCCCTCTAGCTGCCCCAATGGTTGACCCTGCACAGGGGCCTCTGAAGACCAGGCTTGGGGAGTCCCTGGACCTGGCCCCCCATGTCGGCCGCCTCTCTCTGCTGCCCTGTCCTGGAGGATGTCCTGGCAGATGGTGCACCTGCTGTTCCCTCCAGGCCAGGTGGTTTCAGGTGGCCTCGAGAGAGGTAGGGGGTGGCCTGGCTGGGGACCCTTTCTGGCCAGCCTGGGGCAGCAGTCACCATGGGCCATGCTAGGGACGCAGGGATAGCCAGCTTCTTGCAATCACAGGCCCATCTTTCCCAAGGCTCTCGTTCCCTGAGTGCTGGTCCTGGGACTGTGCAGACCCCTGTTCCCCTCTAGGGCTGGGGCTGGGCTGAGACCCATGCAGGTGACAGTGGCAGCCTGGCTGAGAGCCCTTGAACCACCCTGGGCCTAGTGCAAGGCCACCTCTTCACAGCTCAGTCCCCAGGCCTGATAATCATAGTGACCGAGGCAGCGGCATGGGGATGGCCTCTGTCACCAGGGCCAGGCACCTCTATAAGTCCTTTTGTGGAGGGCAAACAGTTTCCTTGCATGCAGCTGGCAAAAAGTGGCTACTCAGCCAGCGCCCTAAACAAGTGGTGGAGCTGCTGCCTGTGTTAGTGTGGGGACAGTGCAGCAGGAAGTACACACAGATATCCAGAGACCAGAGTAGCAGCTCGAGGGGGCATCACCACTGTTCCGGGCCCTGCAGGCTGAGATGTTGGCTCGAGGGGGCATCACCACTGTTCCGGGCCCTGCAGGCTGAGATGTTGGGTCTGAGACCCTGGACTGGAGCCTTTACCTTCAGTAAAAACGTGAATTAGATCTTTCTTCCTAGTTGGCACTGCCCCCGCCTGTCCAGCTTTGGCTGGAGGGGGTATCCCTTGAGGACCCGAGCCCCATGCCAGCCCCTGTGGCCTCCTGAGGTCTCAAGTATCCACATGCTCGTTCATCTCGCAGATGCCGACTGGCCCATTCCTGGCACAAGGCACTGCTCTAGACTTGAGGAGGTGAGAGGGGGTGGGATCTGGGGAGGTATGTTCCACTCAGAAGGAACACACAGTGCAAAGGCCCTAAGGCAGGAGTGTGCCTTGGGTGCTGCAGGGCATTGGGGAGGCCCCAGGGTGAGAGTGGCAGGAGGGGTGGGCCAAAATAAGAGGGTGGAAAAGTGTTCAAACACGTCAGCAGGCATAAGAAATGAAAATCAGCTAAAATCTCCCATGAATGGGGGAATATCCACAAACTTAGCTATTTTCAAAAGTTATATGCTACAGCGAAAACTGACACAATTGCAAGGAGAAATTCACAAATCCACCATCCTAGTCAAGACTTTGGTAATCCTCTCCTAGAAGTTAATTAGCCAAGTAGACCCAAAAGAAAATGGTAAGGATACAGAAGCTTTGATCGCCCTGGTTAGTGAGCCTGAGCTGAAGGGCGTCTATGGGACCAGGCTGGGAACAGCTGGGAAATCATGTTAACTTCAGGCACATGTGGAACCTGTCGAAAGTTGACCATGAATTGACCAGAAAAATAAATTTTTTTTTTTGTCTTTTTGTCTTTTTTCGTGACTGGCAACGGATCGCAACCCTCAGTGTCGCGCCCGTACCGGACCGGGACCGGCAACGGGATCGCAACCCTAGGTGTTGCCCCCGCTCCTCGCTCAGCTAGTGAGCGGCCGGTCTGTATGTGGGATCCAAACCCTCGGTGGGAGCGCCGCCACGCTTCCCAAGCGGTGCACTGTAGCAGTGCGCCACCGGGCCGGCCCCAGAAAAATAAATTTCAAGGAATTGGTATCATACAGATCCTATTTTCTGACCACAACTCAGCAACAAAAAGATAGCAAACAAAACCTCATGTGTTTAGAAAATTTTTAAAAAATGCACTTTTTTATGTAACTCATGGATCTAAGAAAAAATCATCTTACGAGTTAGAAAATACTCACAACTGGATGATAATGAACATGCTACATGTCAGAACTTGTGAAATAGATCTCAATTGTATGTAGAAGGGAATTCAGTCTTAAATGATTATATTAGAAGAAAATAAAAGTGGACAATTAATGAGCTAAGCATCCAATTTCAGAAATTAGGACAGAGGTCAGTACACTTTTTCCTCAAAGGGCCCGATGGTGAATATGTTGGGTTTCGAGGGCCACGTACGGTCTCTGGTGAACATTCTTTTCTCTCCCTCTCGCCTCCTCTTCACCCTTCAACAATGTAGACACCACCATTCTTGGCTCGTGGCCTGTACAAAAACAAGCTGGGGACCGACCCCTGAGTGAAGGGAACAAAAGAATAAATAAAGCCAGGGCAAGGGAAGAAAGGAGATAGACGAGAGGGCTACGGCAGAGGCCC